TTCCTTTTTGATAATCAAATATAAATACATAAATTCCCTCTTCATGCTGTTAGCGTTCATAATTCAAATTTTACCCTTCTGTTGTACATATTTTGTTGTATATATTGTACATTATGATACATTAGCGGGTCATTTGTCATGAAAATTGGAAACTATTATAGATGCGTATGTTTTTTTCAAAAATAAACAATTTCTTCTGTCCTTACTGCAATAGAAAAATTAATGGGAGGGTCTGGTTCATCAGCGGTTAACCCTTCCATTAATATTTCCATTGCAGTAAGGACAGTAGTGTATTGTTTAATTTTTAAAAGAATCATACCCGTCTATAATAGTTTAGAATTTACATCTGTATTGGAAATTATATTGATAAAAAAAAAATTCCTCATAAACTATGTCCTGAAAACATTATGAGATTTCCTAAGGAAGCTCCAAGCCATATTGAGTCTAGGTTCTAGGGATCCACGCTGTATTTCTATCCAGAGAGCAGAATCGCTATTTAGCGAACACATTATATCACATAGCCTGCTATAATAGCCAAACATTATCCCCAGAACACATAATCACCACTTTTATACTTATCCCAAGTACACGAGGCCATGATAATCATCGCAGATAGTTAGCGACTGCCTTTACTGGAAGTTATGAAATATTTCGAATATACACATATAAGGTAGCATATCAAAATTATCAGGTAGAAATATCATTTAGATATTGTACATATAAAGTATTTGCTCGTTGTAGAGCAGAAAATTTGCTTGAAAACTTGAAACAACTAACCTAAAATAAACCTTTTACTCGAATTATATTTTTCCCTTTCCGAATAATTTCTGGGTAACAATTGTTCACATATATTTCACTCATGTATTTGAAGATTTATTCTATCCAAATAATAAAACTTGTTTTACAGTTTAATTTTATTAACAGAATTATTTTCGAATGGTAAAAATCATTATATCAAAAACATCAAAAAGAATTATAACAATAGTTTTTAGAAATAATTACCAGGCTATAAAAAAAAAATATGTGAAAAAATATTCTTAGTTTCTCAAGAAGCCTCTTGGACAAAAACATTTTCGGTCGCAGTGGTACATCCTGCTCCACGCTGATGATGGCCAACAGCCCGAAACGCGTTCGAATATGGCTTTTATTGATTTATAAAGAAATTGGGTTGGCCAAATATCAGGGAACAGGTTAAATCAACGTTTAGTTGATTTCTGTTCCACTAGATGGCGCTCTGCCATCTAAAATTCTCATGTGCTTCTGGTCAGGATATGCCTTCTTAATTTTTAATATATAAGTATGTATTAATTACTATTGCGAAATAAGCCTAAAATCTTAATAATATTGTAAAAGCTCATACTAAGAACGTTTTATGAAAGAAAGAATATTAACCATATAAACTCATCACTAAGAAAAACTACACCATCTTTGAAATACATTAGAATATTGAGAAAATACGCAAAATATGGAATAATTTGACAGAATTTACCCTTTTATATGGCGAAATTACATAGGCAATAATTGAAATTCAGAAAACGGCAATAATTCTGCCATTACAAATATTGATTTACATTTAGGCTCGGGTTTGAATTCGTTGAAAATAAAATTTCCTGGAAAAACAAACGTTTTTTTACTCATTCCAAAAATGTATTCAATTTTACTAAATGAAATTTGTCAAATATTATATTTATATATACTGATGATTCATATATTAAAATAAGGGATATCTTTATTGAACATCTAATCGAAAAAGAAAATGCATTTTTCTTTCTTTGGAATGAAAGCCATTATAAATTAATAAATATAAATAATAATAAATCTATCAAATTTATCATATATAATAATTACTTAAATTAAACTTATATACATTTCAACAATAAACTCAAACAACAAATATTTTCAAACAAACACTTACTTTGATGCCGAAATTTGCATATTGTATGTTTGTGAATATAGATTTAATTAAAATCAATTGTTCGTCTGATATGTAAATTAGGGAGAGACTTTATTTATCTTCTTTTCAAGGTTGTTGGATAGAACATGCCTCTTACGTTTTATCTCTCCTTCGAGTTTTATAAATTTAACAATAAAATCCAAATACGATTGTAATTGTACGTTTCTCACCTCTAATTACGATAGTATTATCTAAAGAGTATTAAATATATCATAGTTGTCATAGAGAAGAGGTAGGTGGTATTCTATTTTACACAATAGTGGTTGTTCAATATGTCTTCTTTTTTCTTATCTCCACTAATCATATTAGGGTGTCAAGCTTGTTGATGGTGTCTCTTGACAACCGTCATGATTGGGTGAATTAGAATGACTTTGTCATTAAGACTGGGAGTACTACTCAGTGGCAGGCCACTGACTTAAATAATGTTCAATATGTACTATGGTGGTGTATTGTCCAGTTGTTCCTTGGAAAGGGAAGATGTCATTGCCCCGTTAGTCAGTCACAGTTTCCTGTTCACGGTTACAGTAGCAGCTCACGACACCGTACTACAGGGCAGTCCCTTACTTGTGCTGTTTCTCCCCACGTAGAGGAGGACTTCTAGGCGGGATACGTGTACTGTGAGTATTCTAAAAGAAATTTAAATCCAATATTTGTTTGTATTGAAGTTTTCGAGTTGCAATGTTAACTTCTGGAGTCTTTTTAATAAAATTCTTTGTTTTTATTAAAAATTAAAAGGCAAACTATAATAAAATATATCAATGAAAAATAGACACTTCGGCCAGTTAGAGTTTTATAAAATAAACCCATTTTTTGTATTTTTTATTGCTTTTTTCACCTAAGGTAATATATATGTTATAGTATATATAACTGTGTGTGAGGTATTGTAACAAAGTATTTATTATTTTATTAACAGAGTATAATGTTTATGTTTATATTTTGATACTCTGTACACTTCCCTCTTTGCTTATCTTTTTCATAAAACTATGAATGCCGGCCAGGCAGCCTCTATCTTTACGATATAATAATATATAGTTTTTTTTTCTAGTTTGTCTTTTGGTTTTTAATTTTGAAATATAAAAGTGTTCGGGATTTATGGGTGGACCACCCTGTATATTTATAATTCCCATTTATAGGTGCTAGGTATCCTATATATATCTTACATGTAAATAATATTAAAATTCTAAACTTGAATCATATGTACGTTGTGCAAGGGTATATAAGGGAGAGATATCCCGGTGTATAATACAGAACGGCACCAATTTGAAGTCCACATTAGGTGGCCGAGCCGCTAATGGCCGTTAGCTGCCTGAATCAACGACAAACCAAATTGGTGATCTGCTCGCTTCCTTTTATTTTTCCGGGGTAATTGGCTGGACCGTGTAGACACAAGTTGTTCACTTCGTTTAAAATTTTAATTAGTTCTCAACTATATAACGTGATGGGTGATACATATTTCATATTTATATGGGATGGCTAATATTTAAACATAAGGCAATATTTAAAAAAAAAAAGACATATCCTGCCCAGTCTCACGTGAGCATTTCTAGATAGCAGAGCGCCATCTAGTGGAACAAATATAAACTTTACGTGCATTCAACTTGCTCCGTGATATTTGGCCAACCCATTTTTTATATATTATTTAGTGTGTTTTCACTTAAGATAATATATATATGTTATATTAAATATAAGTAGGTGTTTGTGTGAGGTATATATATTAAATACATGATAGTCATTATTACAGGAATATAGATTTATTTAGCTGAAAAAGGGCTTTTCGAAAGCTCTCCCAATATTTTTTCATCGCAGAAAGGACAGTAGAAGTTTGATTTATTTGTGAAAAGAAACATTCGCGTCTTGATGTTTTTATTTGTTTTATATTGGAGACGCTTTATTATTTGTATAGATTTCTTCTGTTGTTGTTGTTGTCGTGTCCAAAGAAGAGTCTCAGATGTCTCCATGCATCTCCAACACAGCAGCAGCAATATTCACTATCTTGGGTGTGTAAAGCTGCTGCTCTGGGTCTAAGTCAATTTTCTGCAAAGCTGCGGCCATTGCTGAGTATGAGAATATGTGGGTAGGTGTTAGTTCCACACCAGGACAGTTGTTGCATGCTCTATAGGTTCTTGTGCCATCTGGCTGCCATCATGCTTACTTTATAGTGTTTTATTCTAAGTCTTGTTATAGTTTTTGTCAGTTTTCTCTCAGAGTTTATTTCACATATTTGATCTTTTCTTATTTTTTGTTTGATTATCTTGTATTTTGCCAAAGTGCCAGCGTCAAATACTGACATTTGTTCCTTCCTTTGGCTCAGCTTTCTGGCTTCCTTCCCTTCCCGAAAGCTTCCTTTAATTAATGTAAATGAAAAGAGTTGCGGCATCGTATGATTTTTATGATAATTTTATGTTAGGAATTTTATTTATAATTTGCTTCTGCAGCGCTGTTGTGACCATCTTGATAAAATATAATAACACAAATCCAAATAAATATTTGACCTGATAGCATTTCATATAGGACAAATCAATCAATAATAATCAATTTGTAAAATCCTGATAATAGATTATTCCAAGTGTTATACATGTAGGATGGTTGTTGCGTGATGTGTTGGGGTGGCTTGTGGCCGCTGATAAAATTATAATTAAAATTAATTTATTTAAAGCCAGAAATATATAAAGAGAAAAGAAGTAACGGTTGAAGTAACGGCCTTTAGAGCAAGCCTTGGTGTTTACCGCGTGAGTGGCCAGAGTCTCTGATTACGTTCCGCGCGCATGCGTAGTCAGGTTGACGCTCGCGGTTTCCGAGGCCGTCCACTGCCCCTGTGCGTAGTGGAGCTTTGTCCCAGTTCGCGCTCGCTGAAGCAAAGTGTGGTCGCTACATACATAATATTTGAGAAGGAAATATATGCCTTTAAGAAAGCAGAATAAATAAAATATTCTATGTTACAAATTTTAATATTTAAAAAAGTACTAAGCCCAAATAAAAATCAGAATTTATTTCTCTCGCATGCATCATTCTCTCAATGCGAACTATAATAGGACGAAAAAAAAACTACCCCGGCGGGGAATCGAACCCCGGACACCCGCGTGACAGGTGAGATTACTAACCACTATACTACCGAGGAATCGGCCATATATGGAAACAACAACAATATATTTATATAGTGTAAAACGGCGCCATCTGACGGTCGACTTTACAAAGTTTGTTTTAGAACATATAATTCAAAATATTGTTTTATATAACATGTATATATAACATTACATTCTGTATATAACAATAAAACTATCGAGAGAAATTTCTTTTTCTTGCTTTTGTTTTTGTCTGTCTCCTTAAAAAAAACAGACTATATGCGACTATTGCCCAAGAGTATATATGGTAAAATCTTTTCCTGAATATGTTAAAAAAATGAAGACACGCCATTTTAATAAATTCATATAATTGGAGAGCTATTTTAACATTCATTAATCTTCAGTAACAGAAGTGATAAGAATTAATTTATTTACAATATTCATTAGCCATTATCATATAGAGAGATGACCAAGGACTTTGTTCGTCTGTTTTCATGGGAAGGATTTATATACGTATTTATGAAGAGCATATATTTAACCCTAATCTTTTCTTCTCTTTTGGATTTTTTCATATATTTTCTAATTTTATATTATTTGATATCTATTTATTCTAAAAATAGTATATATATAATTTTCAATAATAGTTTTCATTCCATTGTTGAATATATTTTCTACGTAGAGTGTCGTCTGTAAATATATTTTACTCTTCAATAAGCTGTGAGAAAAGCTATATTTTGAAATATTTTAATTATTTCTCACAGATCTTTTGGTATTTATTAGCTGGAGGTCTAATGGCCGCCAATTACTTGGAACATAGAACAAACAGACTTTTTATCTCGGCTGTTTTTTATATCTCTTTCATTGTTTTTAATTTTTTTTCTTCCTGGCTAATGAGCATTCGGGCCTTGCTTTTCTAAAGAAACTCGAGGTCCAGCTTTTTTCATCCTTTTGTGAAATTGTATAAGTAGAAATTGTGATTGATAATTATATTTGATATACTTTTTCTGATATTAAATATTTTCTTTCCCTTTGTGTTCATGTCGTATTTATTTGATGTATTTATAATAATCGACAAATTTGATTCATCTCAAAATCAACATCACATCCAAATAAAGTAAAAAATGCAATAGATGATTTCAACAATATTTCGAAACAATTATACAAAAGAATCCATTGAATCTATACATTCCTTATTTTTACCAAATAAGACCGTTTATATTTTGGAGTTTCATTCAATTGCTGTCTGAGACATTCTTTGTGTGAAGAAATATATTTTATGAACTCTTAATCCCTCTAGAACTCCACCATAAATATATATGCTCGCTTTTAAGTATTTGTTTTTGAAATCACTCTAAACAACGGATTTATTTCACTATATATATTTACATTATACAAATATATAACTGAATTTAGATAATAATTATATTGAAAATAGAGGTTGCACCTGGCCGGCATATATAGTTATTTAATATAAAAGTTACTTCGGCCAGAAAAATTTATATTGTCCCTCAAATACACTCATGGACACTTAAGGAAGATGTACCTGTTAGCATGTATATCGGGATTAAGACAATAACTCTGAAAGCTACACTCATGGACAAAACTTAAGGAAGTTGTACCTTTTAGCATGTATATCGGGATTAAGACAATAACTCTGAAAGATACACCCATGGACAACACTTAAGGAAGTTGTACCTGTTAGCATGTATATCGGGATTAAGACAATAACTCTGAAAGATGCACCCTTGGACAACACTTAAGGAAGTTGTACCTGTTAGCATGTATATCGGGATTAAGACAATAACTCTGAAAGATACACCCATGGACAACACTTAAGGAAGTTGTACCTGTTAGCATGTATATCGGGATTAAGACAATAACTCTGAAAGATACACCCATGGAAAACACTTAAGGAAGTTGTACCTTTTAGCATGTATATCGGGATTCAGACAATAACTCTGAAAGATACACTCATGGACAGAACTTAAGGAAGTTGTACCTTTTAGCATGTATATCGGGATTCAGACAATAACTCTGAAAGAAACACTCATGGACAAAACTTAAGGAAGTTGTACCTTTTAACATGTATATCGGGATTCAGACAATAACTCTGAAAGATACACTCATGGACAATACTTAAGAAAGTTGTACCTTTTAACATGTATATCGGGATTCAGACAATAACTCTGAAAGATACACTAATGGACAATACTTAAGAAAGTTGTACCTTTTAACATGTATATCGGGATTCAGACAATAACTCTGAAAGATACACTCATGGACAATACTTAAGAAAGTTGTACCTTTTAACATGTATATCGGGATTCAGACAATAACTCTGAAAGATACACTCATGGACAAAACTTAAGGAAGTTGTACCTTTTAACATGTATATCGGGATTCAGACAATAACTCTGAAAGATACACTCATGGACAAAACTTAAGGAAGTTATACCTTTTAGCATGTATATCGGAATTCAGACAATAACTCTGAAAGATACACTCATGGACAATACTTAAGAAAGTTGTACCTTTTAACATGTATTTCGGGATTCAGACAATAACCCTGAAAGATACACTCATGGACAAAACTTAAGGAAGTTATACCTTTTAGCATGTATATCGGGATTCAGACAATAACTCTGAAAGATACACTCATGGACAATACTTAAGAAAGTTGTACCTTTTAACATGTATATCGTGATTCAGACAATAACTCTGAAAGATACACTCATGGGCAATACTTAAGAAAGTTGTACCTTTTAACATGTATATCGGGATTCAGACAATAACTCTGAAAGATACACTCATGGACAACACTTAAGGAAGTTGTACCTTTTAACATGTATATCGGGATTCAGACAATAACTCTGAAAGATACACTCATGGACAACACTTAAGGAAGTTGTACCTGTAAGCATGTATATCGGGATTCAGACAATAACTCTGAAAGATACACTCATGGACAACACTTAAGGAAGTTGTACCTTTTAGCATGTATATCGGGATTCAGACAATAACTCTGAAAGATACACTCATGGACAAAACTTAAGAAGGTTGTACCTTTTAGCATGTATATCGGGATTCAGACAATAACTCTGAAAGATACACTCATGGACAATACTTAAGAAAGTTGTACCTTTTAACATGTATATCGGGATTCAGACAATAACTCTGAAAGATACACTCATGGGCAATACTTAAGAAAGTTGTACCTTTTAACATGTATATCGGGATTCAGACAAAAACTCTGAAAGATACACTCATGGACAATACTTGAACAAGTTGTAGCTTTTAGCATGTATATCGGGATTCAGACAATAACTCTGAAAGATACACTCATGGACAACACTTAAGGAAGTTGTACCTTTTATCATTTATATCGGGATTCAGACAATAACTCTGAAATATACACTCATGGACAGAACTTAAGGAAGTTGTAGCTTATATGTGTCACATATATAGCTATACGTGTCAAAAATAGTTCAAATTTCTCATACCAGATGGCGCGCTATGCACCATAACCAAATATAGTTAGTTTGTTATGGAAATAGTCGGCTGAGTTTCCCACCTAGGCAGTAAGAGACTATCTGTTCTTTGGTTTGAAATTGTTTCCCTTCTTCAGGATAAATTATTAGTTTTGACTGAGGATTCCATCTGTCCCAGCTTGGAGCTCCAGGCGGCCATATTTCACTTTGTTAAAGTAACGGTTTCAGTTATATGTAGTTTTTAACAAGGGCAAAGGTGCCACACGTTGTCCAGGAGTGTTCGATACGGTCGTGTAGCTTTCTTTCTTATATTTAATCTAGCTTTCTTATGTGGAAAACGTTCCTCACATCCAGGCTGGTAGAAATTCCAGGTTTAGCCCTATGTACACAATAATTAACACCAGTGTTGAAAAAAGAGGAAGATAAAAGAAGGAACTGATCGCTGGAAGATTTCATTGAACGGTAACCAACCTCATACTGAAGGGCAAAATAGCAAAACTACACTAACTAACAAAGACATCTATTTATATACAATGTAACACACAACAGAGTAACAAGTCATTGGTCAAATAACAATGATCATATTATTATTATATTTAGAAATCTGAGAGAATTGTCATTTCAACACTTATTCTCAATTCATTATATTTCTACATTCCAAATCCAGCGACGTGTTTTCCATACGAGAACCTCGGCAGACCCTTAGTAAGGATGTCGGCAACATTTTCCTGGGTTGATGTGGGAACGACCTCGACAAGACCATCGCTGCAAATGCTTCTGATGTAATGTCATTTAATGTGTTTAGTTCTGGCATGATGAATATTCAGAAATCAGAGAGAATTTCAACAACTATTTTATGAACAACTAAGTTACCGTTACAGCTATCCCCCGATTTACACGGTACTTGTTTTACACGTTTTCGCTTTTACACGGTTTTCCAAATAAGTTTTTTATCGCACTATACTAAATGCTACTGTGATTGAACACATGCGCTGTGTACACATCTCACGAGGAATCCGAAGCTTATGTGCTGACTTTCTGCACACGCACACTGTGTCTGTATTTCTAATTTAAAAAAAATGATTTTCGATTTACACGTTTTTCTCAGGAACGTATCTACCGTGTAAATAGGGGGATAGGTGTATTAATATCTCTATGTAAAAATGTATCATTACAAAGCTATTATTCAATCACAAATAGAAGTAAATGAATAAAACAGACAGAATCAATGAGCAATGAATAAGACATTATTCCAGCGTTGATGGCAAACACCTGGGTGTTTAATGAGGATTTAATAGGCGAGAATGTTCTAAATGAAATTCTAATGATTTCCACAGTTACTTTCTTCAGTTCCTTCCTCCGAGAACTCAAGATTTGTCCTCCCGGGGATATATTGGCAGAAAACAACCTTTCTTTCGGCCATAGTATGTTGTTATTATATTTATTTATTATTGGTTTTTTACCTGAAAAGCGTATTTACGCAAATTTGGCCTTAAATTCCCATTTCCTGATTTCTCAGGAAGCCTCTGGGACCGTATTTTGGTCGTAAAGGTACAGTCTACACCACG